CCATCTTTTGGTAACAAAATACCTGCTTTACCCTCAGTGGCTTGACGGGTGTAAAAGGTGCCTTCTGGAAAATTTAGGACGGCCCTATTATAACGTATGAAATCAGCACTAGGTATCACGTCCCAAATGAGTTCTGGACATATAATGCATTTCACTGTCCAGATTTCTTTCCCTATGTAGACTTTTAATGACGTCTCCCTTTATTTTACTGAACGCGTTTTTGTAGAAGAGACAAGAATCTTCATCTTGTTACGAAGGGTATGAAAAGCTTGAAAATGTGCTATTGATCTAGCCTCACCGGAATCGAGAAGGGAACTGCAGGGACGTCTTTTTAGTTTACCTGAGACCCGCATATATGAATGGGGGGCCATTTGGTGGCAGACAGGAAAGAGAAAAGGAAGGATCACCTAAACTTGGGGTATAACGCGGAAAAGCATGATGCGAGAGTGTTGAGTCTGACAAGTTGTCTGAATTCTGGTAGGGTGAGGCCGTACGGAGTTCCTACCACTTTTTGGTTGCGATCTTGACTAGTTGGTTGAGCAAGTTGTTCTTTGCGTCGTTGAGCCTCTCAACCACAAATGGGAGGTCCGAACTCCGTGTCTGAACTGGATGGTTAGCAAGTTAGCGACCTTGTTTAGAGGTTAGCCTCTAAAAGCACGTTCCGCAAGCTGTCGAAGGTTCCAAGCGTACTCTTCGGTATCTTTGCCATTTTTTTAGTGGCAAAGGAAGAAGTCCCTAGCGAGGGTCTGCTGTTTCTAATCGAGGACGAGTAGAGCCAAAGTGTAGCAGTATTGATCAATTTTGGCATTGTGGGTGATGTCGATATCGATTGCGTCCGAGAACAAGTCTTGGGGGAAGAGGCATAGAATTAAAGGTGTTCTTTGACGTTGAGGCTAGAGGTAAAGGTTGAATTTGGCGGCTTTGAGCCACTCTTCCAAGTTCATGTCTTCAATGAAATTGGGCTGGTCCGCCGGCGCTGCCACCTGTTTAGCACTATCCTGATTTATTGCAGTAGCAATCCAACTTACTATGAACATCTGTTACTAGTGTAAGGAAGTGTTGGAGGTATGCTTGCGTGACCTGAGGAGACTCAAGGATTAGCATTGTTTAGCAAAATAGCAAATTGCTGCAACTTCTTACACAGCTCTTAAGTGAGTCATGTAGATGTGGCGATTTGAGGTGAGATGTGGTGTACATCTGGCTACACGAGCTTTACAGGCTTCACAGATTGTACCTCTGTCTTTACGGTATAATCAGGAGACTATGTCCATGGCCTCCCAGTCCTTCTATGATGATATATCTCGATTCTGTGTTTACGTGTCTTAGTTCGGCTTCGGTCACAATTTTGAATTTGTTTCTGTAAGGTGTCAAACGAAAGAAATTGCGGAAACCTAGGCAACTCAGTATGGAGGTTAATCGTACGGTCGCAAGGCGGGCAGAGTCAAAAGTCACGTACAGTTAAACATGTTCTTAAGTGGTCATAAATTAATGAGATATAAATACTTTTAAATTATATTGACTTTGATTTCAATTGCGTTTATTTATTCATTCACACAAGTTTGGTCGTAGATAATTTGTCATAATGGATTTAATTGTGTAGCCTCCGAACTCTTCCATGAGGTCGTATCAAGCCAAAACAGCATCAGTAGCAGCACAGAAGGGGTGGAATGTTACTGGTATGGCCCGAAATTTGTATCTTAGAGCAATAATTTAGCCGCGAAGATACGCATTAAACAGGCTACTAAAGTGCTACAACTGTAGCACACTGAGACTTCTCTGAAGGCAAAAGAAGACAAAATACTTCAGCGAAATGTATATTTTCGACATTGAGAAGGAACTAAGGCTACTGACATGG